ACCTTTCTCTTTGACCGAGCCTTCAGCTCCCCTCTCGACTCTCTTCCCCTCCTCGCTCCCTCCCTTCCCTCCCCTCACCCTGACCATTTCCCCCCTCCTCGCTCCCTCCCTTCCCTCCCCTCACCCTGACCATTTACCCCCTGCTCGGGTTCTGACCCAACTGTGCAGCGCCTTGGGACGTCCTCCTGACGTGAAAGGCGCTTTATAAATGGAATCTTGTTGTTGTTGAGCTCATGGGGAAAAAAACATAGTAATCTTAACCTGGATCTGGAAAATCGAGAACTGAATGTGTATGAATGCTGACCTACTGCAACCTTGCTTTAATAAAATCTCCATCCAGGCACATTGGAACAACATGTTTGCCAATCGGCACTATGCACACAAGGTGAATTCAAGAACTCAAGACCCTCCTCTTCGACCACTCTCCTACCCCTCCCCTCCCTGCCCTTCACCCCTCCTGATCCCAACTCCCTGCTGAGGTCCAAATCCCATCCTCCTGGCGTGAAAGGCGCTGTGTAAATGTAATTTGCTGTTGTTGAATTCATGAGTTGCAAATCTAGGTTGCAATTATTGTGTTTGACTTTTCTCATTGCCTCGGTACAAACTGTGGAAAATAAAGACAAAATGCCTGGTGAACACTGCCCTTTCACTGGTGTGATACAAGGCTAAATTCATCCCTGGCTGATTGGATGTAAGTGTCCCCATTTTTCCAGTTATGAATGTCCTACATAAAATGAACTCCAGGCAGAGTAAACCCAGTTGCTAGTTAAAACAGGCAAATAGCATAGTGTTGCCCTCAATTTGGCCTAATTTGGCAACCTCACTCAAGACACCCTATTAATGGAAACATCAGGAGTTTTGTTGTGTGGGATACTAAGACATTGTGTTCAGACTCATTCCTGTGGTGGAGAGAATGATGCTGACAGTGGAAGCAAAATGTGTCAGAACACTATTTCCCAGTATTGGCATTGCTATTTCTCATATAAGGCATTCACTAAAAAATAAAACTGTACTATTTTAATTGCTCGGGTGGATCACCATAAGAAAGGAAGGAGAAAAAAGACCAGCAAAAGAGTGGAAAATGTCAAATAAGACTATGATATTATGGTCATCAAATCGATTGCTGATCACTCAAGCACTTTCAGTGATCACACTCAATACTCGACCAGTGCAGAAGTTAGTCAACACATACCAAATGGAATACCAAAACAATTGGCACATCACCAAACCAAAGGCAGAAACAGTGAATTGGCCCTGCTAACAACGTGAATCATTAAAGTAAAGCACCCAAGTGATTTAAGACATGATCAGGACTCAATGCGACTGTTATAAACAGCCAAGCTTCACTCTTGTAATTTATGACTTCATTTGAAAACCTCATTGAGATTACAGCCTGTTATGTATTATCTATTTTAAAATGGCACAGAGATCTTATTTAAGGAATCTCTCTTCTCTTCTCCCTTCCCTGAAACACACACGCACCCACAACTCTTTGTGGAGCTAGTGTTTTACCACAAGTAGCACATAAGATGCTAGGGGTATTTTAGGGAAATGGGACTCTCATCTTTCGAAGATCATATTGAATGCTAATTTTTTAATAGCAATACTGTCAGAAATATCCAACCAGACTTTACTGTAATTAGTAACACAAGGAAGGGAGCACATTTATCTCTTCTGTAGACTGGAAAGCGTTTGCATTTTCAGATTATTGTTGGGCATCAGTGCTACAGCAGTTTGTGAGTGAACAGAATCAATGCTAATCCTGTATTTTAGTGGTTAGAGCACTTGCCTCGCAAGCGAGTGGACTTGGGTTCAATTCCCGGGCAGGGATAGCTTTTCTGGGATAATAATTCCTTCCAAAAAAAAAATAATTTGGTTACTCAATCCACAATTGTTTGTGGGATACTGCTGTGCGAAATTCGTCCACAAAATATACAACAACAACAAAATCACATTTGTATCGGCTTATCACGACTGGGAGGATGTCCCAAGGCGCTGAACAGTCAGTGTTTCGGAACCGAGCTGGGGATCGGGAAGGATGGAGGGCGGGGGGGGGGGGAAGGAGGGTGATCGAAGGCATGGTCGATAAGGAGGGTCTTGAGACAGGTCTTCAATGAGGCAAGGGAGAAGGGGAAGGAGAGGCAGGATGGAGTTCCAGAGGGTGGGGATAGAGTGGCAGAATGCCACCCAGCAATGGTGGGGCGGGCAATGCAGGGATGTGATGCGCCAGCCGAGCGGACACAGTGGGTGGTGAAGTGGGGGTAAGCAGATCAGAGAGGTAGGAAAATGCGATGGCATGAAGAGATTTGAAAACAAGACAAAAGATTTTGGAGAATTTCATGCAGAGACATAGCAGCCACAGTGTGAATGACAAACGAGCAATCGGAATCAGAGCTGATAGAGGATAGGTTTATTCAGGACAAGTTGATACAGCTGTTAAAAAAGCATATGGGATCCTTGGCTTTATAAATAAAGGCCTAGAGTACAAAAACAAGGAAGGTCTGCTGAACCTTTATAAGTCATTGTGGAGTATTGTGGCAATTCTGGGAGCCACACTTTAGGAAGGATATCAATGGCTTGCAGAGGGTGGAGAGAAGATTTACCAGAATGGTACCAGGGATGAGGGACTTGTGTGGAGAGACAGGTGGGATTGTTCTCCTTTGAGCAGAGATGGTTAAGGGGAGATTTAATAGAGGTATTCAAAATTATGAGGAGTTTTGATAGAGTAGATAGGGAGAAACTGTTTCCACTGGCAGGTGGGTCTGTAACCAAGGGACGTAGATTCTTTTGGTAAAAGAAGATAATTGGCAAAAAAAGAGGGGAGATGAAGAGAATTTTTTTTAAAAACACAGAGCGTTGTTAAAGTCTGGAATGCACTGCCTGAAAGGGAGGTGGAAACAGATTCAAGAACAACGTTCAAAAGGGAATTGGATAGGCACTTGAAGAGGAAAAAATTGCAAGTATATAACAATAATCCTTGTATTTGACATATTTGCATTTGATATAGCGCTTTTCACATCTTCTGGAAGTCTCAAAGTGCTTCACAGAATATACAGAATATACTGTAAAGTGAATTGACTGTATATTTGTGGGCGAATATTTGTGGGCGAATATGGAGAAAGCGGAGGAGTGAGGCTGATTGAGAAGCTTTTCCAAAGAGCCGGCACAGGCACAGTGGGCCGAATGACCAGAAGGTGTTTCTATTCTATGAAAGGTTTGGGTAGGAGAAGATTGAGAGGTAGGAAGGGGCAAAACTGTGAAGGTCAGGACAAGGATCTGAAAATCAATCTGGGTATATTGCAGTTATGCACACAACACATGCTTAAAACATCATTAAATATGTATGATGGTGTACTTCTGTATAATATTTTTCTGAACAGTGAAAGTGCATTAACACCTTTCAGCTTTGAGAGTGGGTGGGGGGAGAGGAAGAGAAATAATAAGAGACATGATCCATTTAAAATAGTCAACATAAAAGACTCCAGGCAAGCAGATAAAAAAAACATAGATCACATTCGTATTTTGAGCACACACAGCAACATTCTGAGATTAGAATTACTCCAATTCTCTGTTCCTCAGCTACTTACTACAGCTTGGCATTTTATTCACGACAGCAGCAAAATAATCAGTGCTTTATTGTACTGGAAAATGGATACTGCTGCCACCCTGAGGAATCAGACTGATCTCTCACAGTCCATCTCCCTAGGCATGCACAGATCTCAGTGCAACTTTAGACCAGGTCAGTTGCACTGCATCTGTCATCGACCATGAGAAGCAGCCTGTGATTTATGTCCCCTGGCATTGTGCCAACAACTCCACCATATTGGAATTAGCATTAGCTTTCATCCCTCACTCAATGATTCATAAAGATCTTGGAGGAGGCCTATAATTCACCTAGCAGTAAAGTAGGAACCCGGTTGTTAGTCAATTAGCGGATCTCTTCATCATGGGTAATAATCCCGTAAACAAAAAATAATTTGGTCACTCAATCCACAACTGTTTGTGGGACGCTGCTGTACGCCATTGGCTGCTGCAATTTGCCTAAACTGAACTGACAAAACACATTTGTCTAGTAATGTCGCTGGGTCTTCAGAAACAATATAAGGTGGTTTCCTTCTGTTAAGATGCTGTGCATTTTGTCTTAGGCAAATCATTTTTCCCCTTTCCTCCCTCATTAACTGCCTGATTTGATCTTAGCCTGTTGTAGTTAACAATGGTCCCGAGAACGCTTTATAATAATTCTTATAATAATTCTTGCATTTGATACAGCGCCTTATCACGTCTTCGAGACGTCTCAAAGCACTTCACAGAATATACTGTAAAGTGAATTAACTGTATATTTTGTAAGTAAAATGCAGCAGCTAATTGCATAGCATGGTACCACAAACTGTTGCGGATTGAGTATCCAAATTATTATTTTTTTTGGAGGCATTATTACCCCCCAGCAAAGCCAATCGAACAACAACCGGGTTCCTACTTACTGCTAGGTAAACAGGGAGTAAGGAAACTTGTCCAAGCGTTTTGCCCTGCCCGGGAATCAAGCCTAGATCCTCTTGCTTGTGAGGCGAGCACTCTAACCTCTAAGCTACAGGACTCCTCTACAAGTTGCAGTAACTGGGAAGAGTATCACAGATTTAGTTTCTGCTATTTTACTGGACTTCGGTTTGGAAGCAGCAAAAACATTGTTGACTACAGTAATGGTTATCAATGTGTGCTAATGGTTTTCATTTTTTTTTACAAATAAGATACTTTAATCAAATCATTTGCAAACATTCTTCTGTTCTTTTGAATTTCTCTTGTGTAACATGCAGGATCAAAAATAGACACCAGAGTTGGTGCTGCACAATTGAAAATGGTCATATTTCATAATCCCGCGCTTGAATGTTCCAAACCAGTACAACAGCACACTTTTGTCCACCTCTTTGGATTTGAAAGCTCTGCAGGATCTCAGTCCAAGCCAGTTAAACATAGCCCCTGGGATGTTCAGATCTGCATCTTACCTATGCACGTAGTGTAACTGATGAACAGAATCAATAGCCAGCACCATTTCTGCCAAGTAGAATTTTGCCATATCCTCTGGTAACCGGTCCTCAAACTTGCTGAGTAGTGTTAAGAGGTCTCCACCCACGTAGTAGTCCATCACCAGGTACTGTGGAAAGCACAGGCCAAAAAAAATGATTTAATGTCACAGCACAATGACACCTATCATCCTACTTGAATTCAAGCCCGTCCCAGTAATTCTAAACGTCACCCTCATTGGGTTGCAATAACAACAACTTGTACTTATATAACGCCCTCCATGCAGGGTAGGTCTCAGAGAGCTTAACAGTTGCGGAGACTGACTCCGAGCCGGGGGGTGGAGCTGACCATAAGCACTGTTGAAAAGGGAAGTTTTTAGGCGGGACTTGAAAAGGGGGAGAGAGGGGCCAAGTCAGAAGGATTGAGGGAGAGTTTTCCAGAATTTTTGTGGTGTAGTGGCTGAATTCGCGACTTCCAAAGGTGGAGCGGAGGATGCGAGGGATGAGCAGGAGGCTGGTGCTAGTCAAGTGGTGGCACCAGGTGGTGGATTGGGGAGTGAGGAGGTCGGAGAGGTAGGGAGGTGCCAGAGGGTTAAGGGATTTGCACACAAGTGTGAGGAACTTGAAATCGATCTGTTTGGTGACGGAGAGCCAGTGGAACCTGGCCAGAACTGGTGAGATGGGGGTACAGAGTTTGGTCCGGGTCAGTATGCGGGCAGCAGAGTTTTGAAACTCAGTACAGTTCTGAATTTCAGTACTCAGGGCACTGCTATGAAATGGTTGGCATTCTTTCTTAGGACAGTTATTAGAGTGCTACAGATCCCCTTGTTGAGTTGGCAAGATCAAGAGTAGTTCCAGTTTTTGCTGTGAAAGCCTTATATGAAGAATTTTATTAACAGAGCTGTGATGTGTTGATTCTTCATGTTACCAGCCTTGTCAACAGCATCCCCATTGATATACCTCAATTCAAAATTAATAATCACCCACAAATTTCCTTATGTACCTTTGCTTTGCTGTCATGCTCAATCTGATAGTTTTAAACCTCAAGTCTATCACAATGTCAAATTAATCTATGCAACGATGAACCCTCCTCTCAATGCCCAATGTCATTGACAAGACTTAACTTTATACCAATTTTGCATGTTTGAAACAGTCACTTGAAAAAGCTTTCCTTTTGTTCTTCCCTTTCAGTAATCCTTGATCTGTCGACTATATCGAGGGGTTTTATGGCCCTAAGATGTGAGCGGGGTCTCCTTACAGTAAACCGGCTCCAAGGTGGCAACGGAATGTCGGAATCGAGCCAGCCCTCTGTGATGGTCTCTAGTCCAGTTCCTGAGCCAATAGCGTCCGCAATATTCCAGGGCACTGCTGCTGACAGTCCAGCCTGGCTCATCGGCAGGACCTGGAAGTGCAGACCAGTCACTGGGGGCAGAAAATCATCCCACTCAGCTCCTGTTAACCCTGCAGCCAAAGCCCTAATGGGTAGAGTGTTCCTAGCTGGACAAGCAGCAGGAAAGTTTGACAGACAGCAATATCAATGGCATGGTATGTGGTTTTAGCTGATTAGACTCCAGCAGTTACCCCAACACACACCCAAACTTTGGCTCTTGCCAACCTGCACCTAATATTCTCCGGAATTAGCGAAGCAGTTTGGGTCCCTCCAATCTATCTTTGGGATTTCCACGTGTAAGTGGGATGCACTGAAATCTCAGTTTGGTTTGGATACGTTTAAGCACGGTGATGGGTTTCTGCATGTGTCAGACACCCAGCTGACCCCCACAAAAACGGCTCTAAGATGAATGTGGCCCCAAAAATCCATCTAACAAATTTACTAATTATATATCAATGCTTTTATTAATCAATAGCGGCCTCCAATTACTACTTTGTCATTTAAACACTAACTTCTCCTTAAATTGCCTTTGTCATCTCCTCGTTTGCTGTTATGTCTACATTTTCAGTAACAGTTATCTCATCCCTTAGCAATGGCACTTTGCTGCCTCGTTTAATAGGTCTATCTTTACAACACACTCTATGCTCTTAGCTCTCTATTTTTTCAAATGGAAGTAGTCGAAGCAGCAGCACCACCAAATATAGCCCTTCAGATGGGACACAAGGACTGCTCTAGGCAGCAACGAGATTGGTTTCATGGTACACATCCAACAGCTGTGATTTCCTTTGCCTGACAATACCAACTTGTTTGCTAGCCGCACATAGCTCCAATAGTTTGCTCCTAGTACTGCTTGCATTACTATTAAGCTTGCTCTTCAACATCTTTTATTAGTAACAGCACTGTGCGATCCCTTTGGCCCACTTGTGGCATTCAGAGTCCTGTAGCTCAGTGGTTAGAGCACTCGCCTTGCAAGCGAGATACCTGGGTTCAATTCCAGGCAGGGAGAAACCTTGGGCAAGTTTCCTTACTCCACACGCCTAATAATATTCCCTCCAAAACAAACAAAAAAAAATTGGTCATTTTCAATCCATAACTGTCTGTGGGACACTGCTGTGGGCAATTGGCCGCCGCGTTTCGCCCACAAACATACGGTCAATTCACTTTACAGTCCATTCTGTGAAGGGCTTTGAGACATCGAGAAGATGTGAAAAGCGCTATATCAAATGCAAGGATTATTATTATTATTATCATCAGTCAAAAAATTGGAAGTTGAAGCCCCATGTCAGGACAGACTAGGCGAGAGTACTGCTTTGTTGGAGGAGCAGTATGTCAGATAATAATAATAATATTCCTTGCATTTGATGTCGCAAAGTGCTTCACAGAATATACTGTAAAGTGAAACGCATAATACCGCAGATGCTGGAAATCTGAGACAAAAACAGAAGTCGCTGGGATCACTCAGCAGGTCAGGCAGCATCTATGGAGAAAGAAAATTGAGTCAACATTTTGGGTCCACGACCCTTCGTCAGAACGATTCTGACGAAGGGTCGTGGACCCAAAACATTGACTCACTTCCCTTTCTCCATAGATGCTGCCTGACCTGCTGAGTGATCCCAGCGACTTCTGTTTTTGTTACTGTAAAGTGAATTGACTGCATATTTTATGGGCGAAACGCAGCAGCCAATTACGTACAGCAGTGTCCCACAAACAGTTGTGGATTGAGTGACCACATTATTTATTTATTTTGAAGAGATTATTACCCCAGAAAAGCGATCCGACAATCGACTGACAACTGAGTTCCTACTTACTGCTGGGTAAACAGTCATGTGGAGTAAGGAAGCTTGACCAACTTTTCCCTACTCGGGAATCGAACCCAGGACCTCTCACTTGCTGAGACTCCGTCTGGCGTGGAGGGCGCTATATAAATCCAAGTTATTGTTGTTGTTGAGTACTTTAATAATAATAATAATAATCCTTGCATTTGATATCGCGCTTTTCACGTCGGGAGGACGTCCCAAAGCGCTTCACAGAACACACTGTAAAGTGAATTGACTGTATATTTGTGGGCGAACGCTGCAGCCAATTGCGCACAGCAATGTCCCACAAACAGTCGTAGATTGAAAATGATCAATTTATTATTGTTTTTTGTTTTTTGGAGGGATTATTATTAGGTGTGTGGAGTAAGGAAACTTGCCCAAGGTTTCGCCCTGCCTGGGAATTGAACTCAGGTCTCTCGCTTGCAAAGCGAGTGCTCTAACCACTGAGCTACAGGATACCCAAGGAAGAAGGAAAGGAATAGGAATTTAAAGATATTAGCCAAAGCCAGTCAGAGATTTTTTATAAGCAGCTTTGAATACTTTTTGAGAGGAGCAAAGAAAGGGAGTTTCGGAATGAGTTTCAGAAAGCAGGATGTAGTGGTTGAAGGATCAGACATCATGGTAGGTTAGAATGTGTACAAGTAATCCAGAGATACAGATAAAGGCCACTCTATATTTGGATGGAGCAATGAATAGTTAAAGTTAAAGTTACTGGGCAAGGAATTCATAGCTGTTTTGTGTGCATCATTGAGCTGATTTTACTGCAAGACTGAAAGAACTTCAGGAGTAACAAAACACTGAAGCAATTAAAGTTGGTATTTGAGCATCGTCAGAACCTAAAGAGAGATATGCACGTTCATTATTTCATGGTTATCAAAAAGAATAGTTGTTTTGGATCATGTTTACTGACAGTTTTATGTGGATCCCTAGTCAGGTAAGCCATGACCTGACAGGTGAGACACTGGCCTTAGGACTAGTCTCAGGGGGGGAAACAAAGCAAGATAAGTCTTGACTGGCTAACATGAAGGCTTCATGATTCAATCTGATTAGATTTACAGATGGGGCAGGTTAATAGAGGGGAGCAAGTTCTTCAAGGGAAATTGAGCACATTCAGCCTGTTAGTTCACACCCTTCGTGTCCAATTCTAGAACCATCCGTTAGGGTTAAAAAATCAAGAAGAATGATTCAAGAAAATAAAAAAAGGAATGTGCTGTTCTTGACATGATTAAAATTTACAAATAAGAAAACTAAAGTTTAAAAACTCACCAAATAGTTTTCATCCTGGAAGGCATAGTGCAATGTAGTAATCCACTGGCAGTCTCCATTTACCAGTACATCCCTCTCCTCTCGAAAGCAGGCAGTCTGGTTAACAACAAAAAAAACTTCTACATAAGTTACATCATGCAGTTCTAAGGAAGGGGTCAATGTAGGACAACTCAGGACACAAAAATTGGAGGTCATTTAGTGGGCAAGCCTACTCTGTCAGTTTAATAGACACTGGGCCTTCAAAGCACTCCATGGCCTGCTCCTTCCTACCCCTTGATCTACTAACATTATATTAACCTGTCTTCTCACTCCGCTCAGCAGGCTTTGCATATCCCGCTCAGCCCGCCTCACCATCGGCTGTCAGGCTTTCAGCCTCTCTGCCCCCATCCTTTGGAACTCCACCCCTTCGCCTCACTCCCTCCCTTGCCTCCTTCAAGGTACATTTCAAGACCCTCCTTTTGAAAGAATTTTTAGACTCTGCCTCAGCAAAAGGTTTGTGGCAGACAATTCTGCATAAAACCTACTTAGATTTACTATTGAGGCTCTGCTCGATGGCAAACAGCTCCATGTCCCATTCCATCCCGTCACCTGTCAAATCCTCATTTAAGAACTGTACTAATATTTTGTCACAAATAATAATAATCCTTGCATTTGATATTATCACGTCTTCGAGATTTCAAAGTATTTCACAGAATATACTGTAAAGTGAATTGACTATTTTTTTGTGGGCAAAATCAGCAAATTGTGGAGTTCTGTAGTTCAGTGGTTAGAGCACTCGGCGAGAGACCTGAGTTCAATTCCAGGCAGGGTGAAACCTTGGGCAAGTTTCCTTACTCCACACGCCTAATAATAATCCATCCAAAACCAAAAACAAAACAATAATAAATTGGTCATTTTCAATCCACGACTGTTTGTGGGACACTGCTGTGCGCAATTGGCTGCCGAGATTTGCCCACATACGGTCAATTCACTTTACAGTCTATTCTGCGAAGCGCTTTGAAACGTCGCGAAGATGTGAAAAGCGCTATATCAAATTTAAGGATTATTATTATATAACCAATTGCGTTGCCCATTAAGTGACCAAATTATTATTATTATTTATTTTTTATATATTCTTTTTGAAGGGATTATTACCCCCAGAAAAGCGATCCGCCAATCGACCAACAACCGGGTTCTTACTTACTGCTAGGTAAACAGAAGCGTGTGAAGTAAGGGAATTTGCTCAAAGTTTTGCCCTGCCCGGGAATCGAACCCAGGTCCTCTTGCTTTCAAGGTGAGTGCTCTAACCACTGAGCTACAAATGACTCTCTTACTGTCCCTTACAAAATATGACTAGTTATAGTAACTGGAAAATACTGGTGAGCATGCTGAACTCATTTCCCTAAATATATATTTAAAACACTGCAATCTACTGTAATTGCTCAGACTGGAAAAGTTAAATATAGCTGCGAGTATTATTTTTAAAACTAAACGTTGGTCAAAACATCCTTTTGACTGTTTCCTTTCACATCCAATTTAGGTCAACTATAGTGCACAGCTCAGTTTGTAAAGATTTCTCAAATCATGGCATTTGATTTACTTTCCTCTGCAATTTGACCTCTGCTGGTATATTCTCAGTAAGACTTAAAAAGGAATTGTGTTTAACAAGCTATAAAACAAGGCTGTCCTCTCAGCCTACAGGGCCAAAAGCAAAAGATAATTGACCCAGAATGGACAATGCATTCAGGATTTAATGTTAAAATAATAAGGTCACTAAATCCCCAATTGACTGCCGCGTTTTGGCATTTCAGTAATAATAATCCTTTCATTTGATATAACACCTTATCACATCTTCGAGACGTCTCAAAGCATTTCATGGGGCATACTGTAAATGTGTAGTGATTGTGTGTTTTTGGGGCTAAATGCAGCAGCCAAATGCGCACAGCAATGCCCCAAAAAATCAACTGCAAGGATTATTAAATATCAGAATGGAAATATCACTATTTATTCTTTACTATAAATAGTTCCCAAATTGTATTCGTTCATTTTATTAGATTAGAAAAGATACTCACAGAATACATTTAGAATTCTACTCAACTTGAAGCCAAAAGCATATATTCCTCCCATCCTCACCTGAAGGCAACTCATACTGGCTGGGCAGATTGAAGGATGAGAGAGAGCAAGGGAGAAGCGAGGGTTATTGTACCAATTGACCACCAGAACTTTACCCAATTGCCTATATGATGTGTGAGGGTGGACAGAGGGTGTCGGCAAGTTGTCCATCAATGAGGGCACTTTCTAGTAAGGGTCACCCAGGACAGCAACAAAAACAAGCAGTCAATTTTTCCCTCTCCTTAGCCCAAGTTGTGGTCCCTTTGCAGTCAGCAGCACAGACCAGAAAAGTAATCTGATGTTAGTGTAATACCACATTATGCAATAATTTCACTGAGCCACCAATGGGGCTCACAAGTTTACATTCATACAAAGCTAAAATAGATTTTAAAAAACTGCCATCAACAATTCATGAAACTTGATAAACATATTCTCCAACCAGTCTGTACCCAGAAGGGAAGGGAGCAAAGAAAAAAGGGGTGGTGGTTGTTTTAACATATTTTATAGATAGCTTTGATCAATGATCGTTCACTAGTTCGGCTGCTAAGCTAGCTGATATTCTGTAAAAAAAAATTTGAGAGAGTTCTCTTATGTGAAGGATGCAACTTAATGTCAAGCTGCGTATAATAAGTGAGAGAATGTAAGTGAGCAAGGCACTGGATTGGGCTTAGTTTACACGCACCTCTGCTCGCTTTAGCATCTCCCATTTGTTGAGGATCTTCATGGCGAAAACCTTCTCAACATTTCTTAGTTTCACGACAGCAACCTGGAAGCAAGAAAGGGGCATTGTGTGAATTAGCAAAACATTAAACGTGCATATTCTTATTTAAACTGTGTTTGAAAACTCAACTCCACAAGAGAGCATAATCAGGATCATTCTTTGAATGCAACATATCTGTGTCTCTATCCAGGTAATAAATTGTGTTTTTCCTGTGTAGGGAATGGACTCCATACCTTCCTCTCTCTGATGTTCATGCTACTAAAGACCAGAAAGTACCTCCCTCCCTCCCCCTCCAATCCCATAGTCGTGCAGTCTGACCACGCTTGCTTTCAAGGCTGAAACAACCACTTTATCATGGCACCAGAGGGTATCCATGGAACTGCACTCCAAAGGAAAAGAAAAGGAATCAAATGTTTTCAGGAGAGAATGGCAGAGGAGAAAATTGGCAATAAAATGAAATGGCATTACAACCTGCAATCTATCCATCCAGTCACTTCAATTCTCCTTGCCAGTTAGTTACACACCATTTAAAATGAACTTGGCTCAGTGCAACCATATATGAACACCAACGAGTGGGGAGGTAGTTTCCGACATCCCAATCTCAAATACACCATAAAATATTACAGCATGGAAACAGGATCATCAAGCCCACACTTGTGTTGTCTCAATGACTCAGTGAATCAAATAAGGCCTGGGCCCCTGTGCAAAGAAACACAGGCATTCAGCTGACAATGTCTTCAGGTAACAATTACAATGGCTGCTGCAAGGCTGTTGGTGTTAGTGTGAATACTGGCAGACAGGCAGCAGTGGAGGTGTGGGACCGAGCAGCACTGATTTTGCAGTCTTTCACAGTTATTAAAATGTCCAACAAAAAAAAACTATTTTAATCCATAGCATTTCAGCACGCATCGGAGGGTAAAAACGGTATCACTCTCCTGAGGACAAAAATAAAAGACAAACACCAAATCAACATTGATTCTTCATATTGTGAAACCAGAATTAAAGAAGGAATTTGTTAAGCACCCATAATATTGGGGCTTAGTGAACATGAGGTGATTGTCCTCATCTATACAAATGTCATCTCTACCATGGTTTGTAAGATAGTTGATCTGTGCTATGGTATAATAAAGGGAGAGATACAACTGGATTGTTTCTCGAGCCAAACCAAGATATTCAATCAGTTTCTGATGTGTAATGGGATCAGGCTTAGTTGAGATACTTATTCAATTGAACAAACTAAAACTACTAACACTTAGCATTTAAGATCAGACGTGATGAATAACTACTTGGGAGGAGGTGCTGAAGAGTTCATAATATCTGTGGATAAGTACCACTGCATCAGTCACCATCTTCAACTGAGGATGAGAGATGAGAAACAGAGGAAAAAATATCAACGATGCTATTGTGCAACCAATCACACTCAGTCCAGGGAACCAGAAACCCAGGTTACCATTACCATTGACAAATAGCCTGTGATGTGTGACCCAAATATTAATCTTCTGTGGTCTTAACTGAACATTATATAGAACCATCTATGAAATCATACATCTGTAAGATTTGGGCTTTTGAACAATTCAATAGTCAACCTTGACTTAAATTATTTGATTTATATGATCATATATGTATTTATATTATTGATCCACGATCAATAACCAATCATGGATAGCTGGAAGTTAACCACAATAGAATGTAATTAAGAACTTTAAACGGGATAATAGATCTCTTAAAGTCTGCACCAAATGTTCCATGACTGGGGGTGGGAAGAGAAAGAGAAGAAATAAACTAAGAGCGCATCTTCCCTCCCCACATACCCCCACATGCAAGATTGATTACTTTAATAGTATGCATAGTTTTAAGTTATGTTTTTCAGATGTGGAGGCAGCATGACTATACCCAATCCACACTTTATTCCTGCGGTAGCAACAACCAAAGTAAAGGATTACTTATCTTGGGACAAATCCTTGATATTATTAGTCACCAATAACTCATTACCATAAAATAAGTTGATTACAAAAATTACCACAACTTCCCTATCACAAATATATCAGAATCTTAAAGTCCAACGCAAATCAAAATAAATAAAGTTGATGAGCTCCTGCAACTGATTTGCCAAAACGAGATCTTACACACCTGTTCTGACTATTCCTGTGAACTTTAAAGATTCCATGGCACAACTTCAAAGTCTTCTGGTGCCCCCCACAGTACTTTTCTCATTCAAATACCACCCCAGGCTCTGTTCTTCACAATCATATCAAATCTTCTGCCAATATTTTCCACACTTTTAAACTCTCTAAAAATCGCACTGTCCTGTGCATTTCTCTCCTCGTCTTCAAAATTCTCTTAAAATTGTTTGACCTTGCCTCATACTCATTCTCCTATCTCTGCTCAGTGGTGTCCACTGTCTCTGTAAAACACTTTGAGGACTTGTGAAAGGCATCGTTGTTGCATAACATTTTCTCATTTGACCTTAATGCATCACTTTCCAATATTAATAATGTTTCCACCCAACACTATTATACTGAGCAGCAAATTATTAATTAAGCTATACCTGAATTGTTAAAACTAGACATTCTGTACCACAAAGCATCAAGCTGTTTTTCTTAAATGCATCTGCTGTTCTGGCCTCAATCACCCCATCCTGATAAACAGTTTGTTGTTGATTATCCTTTATAAAGAAATGGTATGTGTCCTAATCTTGCCCCAGGTGTCTAGGTATGTCTAAACCAAGGCCTAAACTTACTTTCTCTATCCCATTATGGATTTTCTCCACCTCTGACAAAGTCCCCTTTGAGATGCCTTTCAAGTTTGAAGAACTTTAGTTTTAAAAAAACAACTTGCGCCCTTCGCAAAGGCTGACACCAAGCCAGGTGGAGGAGTGACCGTAAGCACGATCAAAAAGATCTTTAGACAGGATTTGAAAGGAAGGAGGGAGGGAGGGGACAAGGTGGAGGGATTGACTGAGAGAGTTCCAGAATTTTGGGGCGAAGTGGCTGAAGGCACAGCCACCGATGATGGAGTGGAGGGGACGATGGACAAACAGAAGGCCAGAGCCAGCCGAGCGGAGGCAGTAGATGGTGGATAGGTAGGGGGTTGCGAGGGTATGAAGAGATTTGAAAACGAGTGAGAGGATCTTGAAATCAATCCGTTTGGTGGAACCTGGCAAGGACTGGTGTGATGGAGGTAACCAGTTTTGTCAGGTGAGTATCCGGGCAGCATTGAATTTTGTGTATAGTGGAGATGGGGAGACTAGTGAGGAGAGCATTGGAATAGTCCAGCCGGGAAGTAACAAAGGCTTGGACGAGGGTTTCGACTGCATTGGTTGTGAGCCATTCCTCAAAGCTCTAACACTTTAAATCAGTCTGATGGCTCTCCTCTGCCTCTCTGGACAAATGACCCCTGAGGCAGTTTAATATATAATTCAGGACAATAGTTTAATTGAAGGGATTACACTTGTACTGATCAGCAGAGATAACCCACTGGGAAGTGTGGGCCAGGGAAATTCAGAGTCAGCAGTCAGGCAAACAACATTCATGGCTTTACATATCCGAGTTTGTCCACAGTCTATTCTTGTACCGTACGACCATCTATCTATTCATTGCACTGCATTGCTGACATTCTTTCCTAAGAACTGCATACCACAGAAACATTCAGCCAGTTTCTAATTGTCCTTTGCCCATTATGACCTACACAACAATATGGATACACTAAAATAACACACTGAATGACAGATGTTGTTCTAGTTTTTAAAATGCCCAACTATGAATGTGCTTCATTGTAGCAGTTATAGAATTTCCGCATGATGTAACCACGTGTTCGGACAGGACAGGCTTTACCTTAAAATTTCCCACCTCATCTTTATAATAACAATCCTTACATTTGATATAGCATTATCACGTCTTCTAGATGTCTCAAAGCGCTTCACAGAATAGACTGTAAATTGAATTGACTGTACATTTTATGGGCGAAACACGGCCAATTGTGCACAGCAGTGTCCCACAAACAGCCATGGATTTGTGACCTTTTTTTAAGGGATTATAATAACAACAAAATTATATTTGTAAAGTGCGAGGGTGGGGGTGATGGGGTCACAGAGCCTGGTGCAGGAGAGGACATGAGCTGCAAAGTTCTGGATGATCTGCAGTTTGCGGAGGGAAGAGTTGGGGAGGCTGTCAAGGAGAGAGTTTCCGTAGTGGGGCCTTGAGATGATGAATGCGTATATCAGGATTTGGCTCCCTGCGAGGTGAGGCAATGGCGGAGTCGAGCAATATTGCGGAGGTGGGGGAAGGCAGAGTGGGCCAAGGAACGGATATGAGGGAGAAAGACAGTTGAGGATCGAACAAGTCGCCCATGTTCCTGACTGGCTTGGTGAGGTGGAGTGGGCAACCATGGATGGTGATGCTGTCAGTGCCTGAGGTGTGGAGGCGCTGACGGGAGCCAATCAGGACAGCCTCAGTCTTGCTGACAATCAGCTGTAGAAAGTTGGCTCTTATCCAGGTCTTGATGTCTGACATACAGTCAATTCACTTTACAGTGTGTTCTGTGAAGCGCTTTGGGACGTCCTCCCGACGTGAAAAGCGCTATATCAAATGCAAGGATTATTATTATTATTACCCCCGGAAAAGAGATCCGCTAATCAACTAATAACCAGGTTCCAACTTACTGCTAGGTAAATTGAGGCATGTGTAGTAAGGAAACTTGCCCAACATTTAGCCCTGCCAGGAATCAAACCCAGATTCTCTCACTTGCGAGGCAAGTGCTCTAATCACTAAGCTACAGGATTCCAACATTGTTGTCTACGCAATGAGACACTAAGAGTCGAGTAACTTTTCCAGAGTGAAGTCCTATGGCTCAGTGGTTAGAACACTCGCCTCACAAGCTAGAGACCTGGATTCGATTCCTGGCAGGGCGAAACCTTGGGCAAGTTTCCATACTCCACACGCCTGATAATAATCCCTCAAGAAACAATAATAAAATTGGTCACTTCAATCCACGATTGTTTGTGGGACACTGCTGTGCGCAATTGACTGCCGCGTTTCGCCCACAAA